TTTGTTGCATTACTTTTGATCGCCACTGTATATGGCTGGATTCAGTTCCTTACGGCCAAACTAAAGCTTTTACACTTTAGAATAAATACGTACTGTTCTACAATGGTTTCTATTACCTATTTCGTGATCTTTTTAGGAATAAGCAGAAACGCCAAATTAATGAGTATAATACATGTACGCGTATTACATATAAAAAGGATGAACAAAGAAATGGCTGAACATTACCGTTACGTGTATTGAATTTCCAATTGGTTCGCCGTATACCGATACTGAAATGACATGGACATATAGTAACACATGCATAGTAACATTCGAGTAATTTTTTACATGTATTTTTTGATTTATTTTATAATAAATAATAATACATGTACCAAGGAATACAGAGGAAAATGTGTTGCATGTATATAATCTCGCTCAACTTTGTATGTTACACCTGATCTTTGCAATTGGATTGGTCTATTTACACATGACTACCTGGATTGGGGACTGATATACATATCTGAATGGGTGGATGGGTCACAAGAAATCTACTAATCCTAACATGTTACGTATTTGTAGTTTATCGTTATTTATTCTAAATGGTTAGTAAACTGAGGTGTGGGTGGGTTAGTGATTTATATAAAACCTATACTACGTAATATCTGTCCTCTTATTGATGATTGCTAGCACGAATTATAGAATTACAGCCCCCACGAAGAGTGATGGTGTATTTTTTAAGAAAAGAGCAGTGTTTAAAGAACAATTACAAAAATATATTTCTAGAATGCCTCTGAGTAGTGCATCATGTTCTTAAAAATCAACATATGATACATTTTCCTCCCATGTCAACGCAAGCTTGAGTGCCATTTGACATGTCAAAAAAAAGACTATTACTATGGTTCAAGTAATCTATATTCAATAATTTGTTTAATTTTTAAAATCTTTCAACTCAATGTAGAAACAAAATTTTTAAAATTTAACTGGTAACTTTATAGAGCTTATCGTAAAGAACAAAGTTACCGGTCAAATTTTGTTTCTACATTGAGTTGAAAGATTTAAAAATTGAAACAAATTGTTGAGTATAGATTACTTGAACCATATTAATTTTATTTCAATTTGCTCTTTACGATTTTAGTTTATAAAATAATAATAATTCCATTTCGAAATAAAAATTTATGCAATTTGATACTCATGAAGTGAATGAGAACAGACATCAGGAATTATATAAAAGCACGTGAGGCCTGTCAACTAATCAGAGAATACCAGAAAAAGAACTGTTACATTAAAATCGGCCAACCATTGTTACCAATTTTGTGGACCTAATAAAGAAACACAAAATAGGAATAAATATATAGTAGTAAAAATGTCATGTATTTTTCACACCAGCCTTTTTTTAGAAGGTCAATTACAAAGATCTGGCCACTTATAACCATTAACTTTGAAAACTCAAAAACAGGATGATAAATAAAAAGTAAAGTTTAAATATTAGCTGTTTTATTAATATTAATACTTTGTATGATATCCATTTGCAAGCAATAACCGTGGCAATTCAATCGAGCATACTATAAATAAGTTTTCGATAGAACTCGAGTGCAGGATCATTCAAAACCACTTTCACGTATTGTTCGAGTTCTGTGAGACTAGACGATGCAGACGAACACTTCAAGCCATAATTTTCTATGGGGTTCAAATCGGAACTTAATGGAGGCTAAAATAACGTCTTGATTTCAGAAGCTTGTTTCTTGAGATACGGGCGGACATTCTCAAAAATAGATCGAAAACTTAAATGTAGCATTATTTAACGCCTCTAAGAGAGAGAGTTCGCGAACGGCTATTGCAACCTTTGACCTATGTGGTGTTGCATTGTCTTCCTGAAAATACCATCGCCATATAGGAAAAACTTGTGGATGATAGAAACCTTTTCTATTTTGTGTAACTAAAACTCAAAAATACGTAGTTACCACAAAATGCAAAAAAATTCTGGCTGGACCTTTTTTATGATTACTTATAAGGTAAAAACTAATTTCCATTACTTTCCGTGGTGACTGTAATTAGCAATTCAGAATTTTGAATGAAATATGATCTTGTTCAATGACTTGTTGGTCAGCTTTAAAATTTTGTATTTCAGTTACTTAATTGTGACTATATTTCAGTAGCTGGATATTGATTCAACTTGAACTTTGCTCCAGTCTTATTTATATGACGAAAATATTTCTGTGAAACATTTATTCAAGTCCAGTTAGTCTTTTATTAGACGCAAATTTATTAATTTCAGTATATCAATAACCAACTTTATTAGCTTTTTTCAATTTTTTCAAATAGTTTAATGACAAGAAAATACATTTTTCCTTTTTCAAAAATAGAAGAAATTTGTACATGAATGCAGTTAGTTTTTTAACATATATACATGTAATTGTTAATCATGCTAATTAATATTTAACGCAAGTTTAACCAATAAAATTTTCTCATTATACATGTATTAAGATAATCATAGTTAATTGGCATGTATTATACTGCACTATTTTAACTCGAGTTAGAATCTTGAATTATTTCAATCCGGCTTTAATTTAAAATTATATAATAACACATATAACAGAAAAATGATAAGTAAATTGAAGAATTAATCTAAATTGGAAACATGAACTAGATTTTTGCATATATCGAGGTTTACCTAGTAAATTTGACTTATCGAGACAGTTTATTATAATTTTCCTGAACCAACTTATATTTATTGAGATGTGTTCACTATAACTGTTTCTGGTATCAAATTGGCTTATAAAGTGACAATTAATATTTCAATTTAATAGATTGACTAATTATTTTGCTGAAAATAAGTACCACATCTGATTTCATTTTGAAGTCTTAAAGCAAAAATCTAGGAGATGATCAAATTTCCATCTTGCAGGTTGCTATCTGACAAAGGCAATGCCAATTATATCTGGAACATGAAAAAATATAGTAATAAAGATTAAGGTGTAATAGCAAATAATGATTCAAAGTAGTAAAACAATTTAGTGCACTTTATATATTATTTATTTGCTCTTTTGAATTAAGTCTTCTCAAATTGCATTTATAATTATTTATATGATATGTAAATTTTATGAACTATTTTGAATGGATAAGTCAATTATAAAAAACACCCATTAAAAAAGCAATAAATGAAAATGCGATTGAAATAGTGCCTACTAGAAATACATCTTTAAATTCATCAACTTATACAAACAAGCAAATGATATATTATATATTGTAATAAAACAGTGTGTATACGTATGCAGAACCGTTATTATTTATTTATGAAGTCAAACTGCTGTACGTATTTCTCCGCTACAACCAAAGTTTAGGCCAATTATCTTAACATCGCAACTAGGTGAAATACGTGTATTGACTTCGAGTAATTCTCTTGCAGAAATAGGTGCTGCGGCAACCAGGGACGAAAAGTGGACGACGATCAAAAATGTAAGAAACTGATTGATGTATTGGAAATTCATTTTTGTGTGAAATGTTTTGAAGAATATGTTTGAAGAATATGTTTTGAAATTTTGGTTTAAATTTTTTTAGCGAATATAACAGAGCCCCTATTTATAAAAAAAATGAAATGAAGTACTGCAGTAAGATCAATTTAAAGTGCTGTATTTAACCCATGTTGGCAAATAGTATCATTTAATGTCATTCGATATCACTTCAATGTCACTTGCATGTATGCCTGTACATACGTAAGAAACAATTAAATTTTTGTTCAATTGTTTTAAAAAAAATTAGAACTTAACTTAAAGCTATTATTATAGTAACATAAATTTTCGAAGAAATTACACTGTAAATATTTGCAAAAAATAATTGTTTTACTAAACAAATTTGACTAATTCAAGGTTTAAATTTTCTACAAGGCACTATGTTCAACGTTTTACGATATCTGATTTATTACCAATACTACCAATGAAAGTTTTATCTTAATTACCAACATATAGCTATAAAAATTTAGTCCAGTGAAACCTCCATATATAAATGCACTCATGTCATATATGGACCCTGGAGGTGCACTTAGGGGAAGGTTTCAATGTACTATTTTAGTAAAATTTGAAAAGAATGTTGCTTAAAAAATGATTTCTCAAACAGGTACTTAAAACTCGATTATATCAGATCCTGCAAAGTTTGCAGGATTTGATAGTATTAGAAATCGGACTATTGATTAAAACAAAGCAAGCACGTAAACACAGTAAAACACAGGAAGTACCCATATGACTTGGATAAACTTCCACATTTTTCAATAGCTTTATAAGAGTTTGTTATAATCCAGGGGAAACTCTAATATCAATAACGATAATGACAAAAAATTATAGCCAAACATGGAAGTTTATCAACTTTAATGGTTTAGCAGAATCCGAGTGTATTAAACAGTTAGTACGTACGTACGTAATGGGCGCTGCATGCATGATAGCATGCAGTGTACGTACATCTCTGCACACTTAATACATGTACATGTATAATGAAATATTGATATTAATACGTACTACCGCTACGCTACCGCTACATGTAGTGCTAGGGGATAGACAAATACATAACTGCACACATATTGCATGAATCTGCGCATGATTCGCGAGCTTGCAAACATAGTACATGTACATGTAAAACGTTTTTTCTACCTGTGAATTGCAAGGAATGTCCGGTATGTATAACGATAAACCCGGAAAAACGATAAATTCATACATAATCACCAATATTAAATGTTAATTGTTATTTTTATTCTTAGATTTTGAAGATTCGTGCAGTATTTATATTAATTATAATTATTATTTGATAAGGAAGTTGTTTCTTTATAATAGTAATTATTAATTAGTCACTACAATATTATTCTTATATGTTTTCGCCATAATTTTCTCTGTTTTCCTTTGTGAAGTTTCTTTTATGTTTTCTCTTGTTGATTCCTCTATGGTTTTCTTCATGGTTTTTCTCATGATTTTCTTCATTGTGATTTTTCTGTGATTTCATTTATAATTTCCCTTGTAGTTTCTCTATGAGTTCCTTTATAATTTTCTTGGTGGTTCCTCTGATGGTTCCCTTTTATGGATTCCTCTGTGATTTTTTCCCGTGGTTTCATTCATAGTTTTCTTCATAGTTTCTTTTAAAGCATTCAAATTGCTATTTTCAATTATATCTTCAAATTGTTCAGTCGCTAAATTACATTGTGGTGCTTGTACAAAGACAAATTGATAAGGTTTTTTAATGGCGGTGCAAATTTGTGGGTTAATTGCTCTTATAAGATATTATAGTTAATTAATTTACTAATTCTGCTGTCAATACTTACAAATGGCAATCCTATACTTCAAGTCAGGCTGATAACTTTATCTCCAATCCCTATAAAAAAATCAAGCATGAAAGATCCACAGAAATTGAAGGAATGGTATAAAATGGCATAGCTGTTTCTTTTATTATTTATACAAACTCTTCTTATTATTTGATTGTAGTGTGCCAAATTGTATAAAATGTTAAATAAAAAGACTGTTATATATTTGGTTTCTTTACTAATAAACGGACAAGTTCATGAGTATCGAGTAAAACGATCTTTCGTGTGTAGTAAAGTTAATTAAATTATACAGTGGCTCACACATGTAACGGAACACGAAAATTAACTTACTAGAATTTTTATTTTCATAACTATTACATGTATAATGTAAATATTAATTTGGTTTTTCGTGTTTAGCTGTAAGCATTCTATACGTGGCATGTGCGATTACTGCATGCGCTTAGAGGTAAATAGTAAATGTCTTTTTTTGAGTTGTTACGTACGTACTTGATAACATTAATTCTGTATTTATTGATTTAGTCATACGATGCTAATTATTTAGCAGAAAATCGGATCAAACATGTCTTTTCATGCATATTTACGAA